CTGTCTCCTGAAAGAAATTGAGTCTCATTAAGTAGCAGACTTTTTGTACTTTAACAGAAGGATTTTGTAAGCAAGTTTTTCAGAATTAAATTATTTGTTTCTTCGAACTGCGTCTTCTGTCCATCATGTAGATCTAATAATTCCATATTAGAGCATACATTTACGTGATTAATTAAATAACATACTAAACTACATCACTTAATTCAATCAATGTATCCTCTCGTTTATAGGGGACGAAATGATCGCGACGAATTGTCGTGCGGCGAATTGATCGGTCGCCTCTTTTTTTCTCCTCCATGTAGATTTTGATCAGACTAGCAAAATCCAAGAAGTGTTCATACTTATCGTTCTTTATTACTGAGATATATTCTAAATAAGAGCGATAAACAACAATTTTTCTTTTCATTTTTGAAATGTATGTATTTTTTTATCTTATCAAAAGCAGGTCCAAGTGCGTGATTACAAAGTCAGTTCTAACAAAAAGACATAAATCTAAAAACTGAAAATATTCCTTTTTTGTACGGTAATACTTGGACTATATCTCGATATTCAGAAGCGATAAGAAAAACAACATTTCTAAAATTTTCTTAGTCTCATGAAGTCCTATATGGAGGTCAAAGATGAAGTAGAAAGATTGCAATCAGTTAGGGTGATTCCCTCGTAAGACTAAAGATGCGATCATGGTAAATAAATGAATAATGATATCCACTATTTGTCCTCTTCTTAATTTCTTCGCTTTTATCTTCGTTTTCTCTGTACACCTATTTAGTGTACTGAACTGTATTTTACTTGTGCATACCATAATGAGGCACACAAAACAAAGTAAGCCCATTTATACGGACTAAAACCACACAAATTAAAACGAATGAGAAGTTTGAAACTTTGTTATGTCATTATTGTATTGTATGTTTCCTCGTTTCTGATCTCTTCATAAAATACATAGATGGAATTGTTTTACTTACTGTAGCTGGACACGTTTTCTGTCTTTTTGCTATGAAAACTTTGCATACTTGACAATTTCAGATAAAGGATCGTTACTAATACAATGTAGAAATTTCTGACAATACTCCAACCAAAGATGACTAAAAAAAGAAGAAATAAAACTAAATTAATGTTAGTTTTATTTTCAAGAAATTAACTTTCTGCATACTAGAATAATACGGGATGGATAGCTCCATCGATCATGGGAATAAATGATCAATTTTTCTGTTTTATTCTTATCCGTTCTCTATCATCTAGCAAATAGAAATGCTTTCTAGTAACATCCACAACTCAATAATGAGAAGAGTTGCTAATATATTTTCTCGGTCTTCTTTTCTGCTGCTTTTGATTTTGCATCTTCCTTCACAAGACTGGCCGAAATGATAAGAATTCATGTCATTCTCTGTTTCTCTAACACCTTTTATTCATATGTCCAACGATAGTTTCCTGAAAATATAGTACAAAAAATTTGTTTATCAATGTTTGTTTGACAAATTTAATAGATAAGACAATGATTTTAGAATGCGTTCTTCTAATTATTAATGCTCTTCTATTCAGCACTATTATATTAATAAATCATTAGGATGATTTATTTTTCTACTCGTCATAACTGATTCAGTTAATTTAGCCATCCAGAAGAAATAATAGAAAATAAATCAAGCCACAAATTCATTCGGTTTTTACTATAGGCCCAATATTCTTTTATCTGTTGCAAACGAAGTAAAACAATCAATATACAGTATACGGTGTTTATCACTCTCTCAAATTGAGTGATGTCCCAGATCGAGTAATGTTGAGGTATGAATACGTCTTCTCTGGTGATGCGGACCATCTTTCGTTCGTTTCTTTCGAAAAATACGGTACCATCTACACGAGATATGCTCACATTTTCTACTATCTCAATATGTGACGCAACTGATTTTTCGATTTGAAAATTTAGAAAACTGGACCAATTGAAGACATCTTAAGCAAAGCTTCAATTGTATTCGTAAGATGTATGCTCACTTTTGTATTAAAGAAAATGGAACGTAGACAATTTGATATTTGATAAGCGGTCACAACCAAATATGGATTTTATTTCTTGTAGAAATTAAGACCAAACATACTCATTCAATGTTCCCCTTCGAATAAATATAATACTTTTGAGTTGTTCATGTTAATAAAAACTTTTCAAATCAGACTAATTTATCTTGACTCCTTGAAATTCGTCCCACCCATCGTAATTCGAATTGTCTATGACTGATGTATATTCTTGACCAAATTCATAGGTTTCCGGTGAAACATACTACACGCCTTTTGCATGATAAGAGTTATATTTTTCGTGCTCATGAACACTATGATAACGATCTATTTCATCTTCTCTTTCGTTGTGACAATGATAATCATTAGCATAACATACATAACACGGACAGTCTTCTCTATATGGGCAATCATAGCAGTCTGAATATGTATAATCTACCGAATATACTGATCATGATCATCAACATGAGAAGCAGCCGGACTTAATATCGAGAAGTGAGGTATGGATGTGGGAGTGTAGTAGTGGGTATGATCTGTATGAGAGTAGATTTTGCTATGCTATTAGCGTACTCACACTCACATACCCTATGGGACTTCAAATACTATATACACAGCAAGTCTTTCTATGAGCTCATTCACATATCATCTTGTAGAGTTTCGTGAGTTGTACTCACAGTATCAAAGTCACGGTCTTTCAATGTTCTATTCAAAAGATATGAGTATCGCAACGGTTAGCCTTTTCATAGGACCTTGAACGTGAACGGAGTCGTCTGGTCGGTAGTTTTTCGAGGTAAATGGAACTATAATGGATTCTATCAACGGGCCTTGGTTTCTGATAGTGAGACACATCTGCACATATAAGTTTTGCTTTTATTTCATTTCATTTGAATACTGTGATGTTGTGTGAAGATATCAAGTTCATGCCTTTTTTTGTGGCTCAAATTTTCTCTACTTAGAGTTCTTGTTTGACACTACATGCAACCAAAATGCTTGACTTATGAGAAACCATGTACACATAAGTGTGACGATTTTAGATAGATGAGTCGCTAGCACTGATGGAGTCACGCTTTATTTGGCTTCTTCATACCACTAATCGTATCGTTTACACATAAAGCGCACGCTTATATACGCAAGTAGAAGAGAGTATGAAAGAAAAGAAGATAAGTTCAAAGAGAGAATAGATATGGAAGAACAATAGGGTAAAAACAGCAACGTAATAATAGAAAAGTGAGGACGATATATATAATGTACGAGTCAACACTAGGGGAAGGCTGAACATTATGTATAAAATCCAATCAACCGGGAGCGTTACAATAAGATAAGACATTTTTCATGAACAGATAAGCTTCGCATAGTATAAAAGACGTAAATGTATATCATAAGCTGAAAGTAGATAAGAGCAATACAGTCTACGAACATTTTTCATATATACTGTAGACCAAATTTGCACACAAGTCCATGCACAAAAGATCGGCATTCCTTTCAAGGGAACTCCAGGTATTTTGAATTCAATAACGGATGTTTGTGGGGTTGAAGTAGAACAACTAGCATTGATTGAAGATTCAGAACAACCGTCAACAGATCCGAAACCTATTCGAACAGGTATTACAGTTGTTCTTCCCAGAGAAAACTCAATTTAAGGAAATCTTGGAGAACAACAAACATTTGGTGCATGGTACTCGTTGAATGGAAATGAAGAAATGACTAGAATGACGTGGCTTGAAAAATCAGGTTTTCTTGCCCCAATAATTGCAATAACTAATAGACATAGCATTAGAACAGTTCGAGATGCAGCTATTCAATGGATTACTCAGCAATCAACTGGATCAGTTGTGTCCGATGATGACTATTGTCCATTAAGTTTACCAGTTGTTGCTGAAACCTGGGATGGATTTCTTAATGATATAAATGGATTTCATGTTCAGCCGCAACATCTCTTTGATGCAATTCGATCTGCAAGTTCAGATCAGATTGCTGAAGGAAATGTAGGAGGAGGAACAGGAATGGTTACACATGAATTCAAAGGTGGTATTGGAACATCGTCTCGTAAACATGGCGAGTATACAGTTGGTGTTCTTGTTCAGTCCAACTATGGAAGAAGATATCAATTGACCATTGCTGATGTTCCTATAGGTGAAGAAATGTTAGATGAACTTTTGGCCAGTTCTTGGACAAGGACGACCAATTAATACTCAAAAATAAGGTTCAATTATTGTAGATGTTGCTACAGATGTACTACTCTTACCACATCAATTGAAGTGACTTGTTCGTCGTGTACCACTCGGAATTGGACTGATAGGAGGACGAGGTGGAAATTAATCCGATGATATTTTCATTGCGTTTTTAACAGCTAATCAGCAAGAAATGGGAAAAAAACAAGTTTAATGCATTTAGACGCGCTGTCCAATGAAGAGATGGATCCTTTATTTGAAGCTGTTACACAAGCCACTGAAGAAGCTATTTTGAATGCCATGATTGCAGCAAAAACAATGGAAGGAATACATGGAAATAAAATCTATGCTATTCCACATGAAAGAATTCGTGAAATATTAAAAAAGTATAATAGATTACAAAATAACGAATAAATATCCATAAACATTGTGAAACACGATAGGAAATGGGTGTTGAAGTTGCATAGCGAGAAATTCAGATCCTTACTCTCCCCTCCACAGACGGTGACCGACTTTCTGACATGCTGCTTCTCTGATCTTCTCATGAATCGTGGTTAGCATAGCAAGAATCTTCATATACAAGGAAAGTGGTTCTATCGTGTTTTGACATTTTAATACCGTAGGAATAACACTGAAAACTTTTTTTTCTAGGATAAATTTTTATTTAGAAAAAATAATGCAATTTTCACTACATTGGAGATTGTTTCGTAAAATATGAACGATATTCTGACAAAAAAATGTGATATCCTTTTTTATAATAAAATATTAATTGTATTTTTCACATCTTTTTCTTTTTATTAAACTGGAATCGTTTAGATAAATGATAAATATTATTACTTAAATCGGAAAACAATAATTTTTTTCGTTCGTAACTCAATGAGTAGTTTGTGTAGAGGAGTTCAAGCAAGGCTAATTTATAAACATGAGGATAGTTTTGGGATGAGTTGTGGTCGATGATACAGAATAAGATATTGATACTAAATAAATAATTTAGCTTCGAAAGAGTTCATCGTTTCCTAGAAAATTGATATTTTGATGCGAAATAACATTGACAACAAGCATAAATTGATAATGTCTGATATTTGAGATTGTTTTGAAAACAATAACCATGATTTTCGCACAAATTACTTCCTTTACCATAATGAGTCAAATCGTGCTCGAACTCAAAACAATTGGCCGATCAATCGAGAGTTCACACACACAAGGGAACATCATCTTAGAAACAAACTTTTTTCTTGATACACCAAGAGGAATTACTTTTGATCCATATGGAAATTTGTATGCTGCGGAAAAAATGGATAATTATCGAATTATTATGCATGACGTCAACTCAACTGTGGATAATGTTGTAGTTGGATTAAATGGAACTTCATCTTCATGGAAAAAAACCGTAGAGATTGCTTTTGATTCAGATCTAAAAAATGTACTTGACTTTAGAAAGTCAAGCTATTGTTAAGTATGCTTTACTATAAATTAACTTTAATACGTTTTTTTTTTGTTGATTGATAATTACATATTTTTATATTTCGCTCAAGATACGTTATAATTTACATATTTACTTTTTCTTATTCTCCTATTATCTAGATAAATAACTGATTTCATCATTATAATATCATGTTTATTTCATTGGCACAAAATATTTTCTTTTGCTTAATCAAAAAGAATATACATGCTTAACTTATGATAGAAGAGTTACAGCTGTTTGCAAAAAACACTTGCACATCTTACATTCAGGATATTTCTTCTTATGCACGTATTATGTGGATGTTTGGGTGTGAGTGTAAGGTTATGGCCATAAGTGTGAGTTAGCTAGCAATCAGAGAGTTCTCACATCCAACTGCTGTTCGTAAAATATCATTAGATCGTACATATGGCATATTTCAGCGACAACTACTGATTTTATCTCACAAATGGTCATTGATTTTCGACCAATTATATACAACTAACGATTTTGTATATATTCTTCATTGATTAACAAAATAAATCAATAGTTTTATCAATATTGGTTATAGTCACTTCTTTCTTCTTTCTTTTTTAATATTGATTCTATGTTTTTTTTAATCCCAACACTCGCCTAGAAGCATTAAATTTACATGTTGAAAAAAAACATGTTCATTCATAATTATGACTGTAGTGATGTTAGAAAACAAAATTGTAAAATCTCTGCGTGCGTGTGGATGTGAGTCTACAGATGAGTGATATTTAAACACCCACACCCAGTCTAAACATTTTTGAAGTGTTTTGCAGATGTGCATACAAGAGAAGCATCTGAATTAGGTTATTATCATGCCGAAATATCTGTAGCTTTTCTTCTTGGTTTGAATAAAGGTGAATAGTTTCCTGTCAAAGTCAAAACAAGTAATCTATGCTGAATTGCGAGATGTTGATCGTTTTGACAAAAATTACGAACATGATAATATCAAATGACGAAAACGTTCCTGAAATGAGTCATTTAGCTTTTCATAACCGAAATCGAACAACAAAATTAACCAACAAGTTTTTAATCTTATAAAACTTCAATGTCATATTTTACATCAATAGTTAAGAGTATTGATCATTTAATAATAAGAGAAATATTTCATTTTAATTGAACTTTTTTATTACGAATGACTTATGTTTGTTCTTTTTTTGTATAGATTATATCTAAATGCAATATGTGTTGCCTTTCGATATCTCAATGAACTTCTTACTACGTTTATTGATGAACATAAATATATACGTATTTTATAAGATGTTAATTCAAAAAATTCAGAAAGAGAGATTATATCAAATGATACAACTATTACAGGTGGATTAACATAAAAACAGATTAAGATATTCATTTGAGCAATAGCAAATTATAATAAACCAGTTTCATTCGATGATATTAAACTCAATCTCGAATTAGGATCTGCAGAAGATCGAAAAGCATCGCTTAATAACACCATTAATGTTTTCTAGTTCTATATTGATTGCTAATCATCTGCCATTCAACATATCTTTTTTTAATGAAAATATTATTCGAGCATTGAAATATTTTGTTTAATAAAATTTCTTTATTCTAGCAACCTAGTCGTCTTCTTCGTTTTAAAGAATTATACAGCAATTTTATCTGTCATTATGAATACAAACATTCAAACTTGTGTCTTAGTTTCATATGTAAATAATTCTTGTTTCATTATTTCTTCAACAGTAGACTAAATCTATGATTTGTTTATATTTTTCACAATATTTGAGTTGAGATAGATAAAGTCTTTATCAAAATATGATATAAAAGAAAACTCATTTATGTATATAAACTAAGGAGATCTACATCATGTCTCAGACTGCAACATTTAAGCAAAGGAATTCACATAGGTGATAATAATTGTATGAAAAAATATTTTCTGTTTCCAACAATGTTCAATGTATGAACATTTTTTCTCGTTTGAGCATTCATCCGCCCAATAATGTTCAGTCTTACTTCACGATAAAACCGTGGAATTATTTTAGAATGAAAGTTCATCTAGATGTAGGATTAATAATCTGTTATGTTGTTACATTACGATGATTACCTCGGACTAACTATATAAGGGCTTCACAGTAACATTATCATGATAGTGCTGCTGATAAAGTATTGTTCAATCAAATCTTTTGATACACTTTCTATAAACAGTGTTTTACAAGACTTCTGATTTTGTTCTGCATTTTAATTCGAATCTATATGGGAGCAAAATCTATCAAAACGAGACGTAATCATTTTTGACTTGACTTGACTTTGATTCTTTGTAGGAAACACTTTATGAACAAGTTCTTTTATCATAAACATATGTAAAAATATCGGTGCTCACAGTTTTCATCTAATTAAATCCGATTAAACGAAGCAGGTAATAAATTAAAAGGTAATTAGCATATAATTCTCTAATTTTATGACGGAAAACTCCAATAATTCTAGAATAGAGTCCCTAACATAAACTGTATCTATAGTGAAATTCCCAGTAATTTCCGACTTCAAGAAACTGCTTCAACAAAATCAGCTCTTCAGAGATATGCACACGTTCCGGGATAATACTTTTTACTTTTCTATTATCTTGAAATCCCCAAGAACGATTTGTGCCATTTAGAAAGAGTTTTTGAACTTGCCATTCCCTTACAAAACGATTTTTCGTTTCTATATTCGTACTCACTCAAGTCGTTAACAACGAATAAACTCACGTCAGTCTTATGAGGAACTTAAGCACGTTCAGAAAAGACTTTGCATAGAGATTTTGTTCGCTCTGGAAAGTTCTCTACAAAAGACGCTATTTATTTTTCGAGAAAAATCTGTTTCAGATTACAGTATTTGTGAACGGAGACAAATGCAACGGAAACCTTAGTCTCTTTTTTTTGGTATCATGTCACTAACGCTAATTTTTCAAAAATAACTTGACGGAATAAATATCGAACTGCTGAGTTTTTAAGAATATCTAAAGCAACTCAACATACATTTTATAAACGAAAATTAGCTAAAACAAAATATAGTCCAGAAATATAAACAGGTTAACACGCATTTAATTTATTATGCGCTGTAGAACTTCCTTTCTATTCAAATCATGCAATCCGTATTTTCTAACTTGCCTGGAACATTCTTGAAGAAAATCCAATGCTTTTATTACGGATAAGTTGTGGTTTTTTTTCTCTTATTGCAAGATACATAGTGTAACAGAGAAATCATATGACTGAAATAGGAAGAAACTGTTGTACAGTCCTGATAAAAGTACTCCCATGTCATCAAGATTGTGATTATTCAATAGAAATTTCCCATTCTTTCACCTGGTCGTAGAATTCGAGTCTATAACTATGTTTCAATGAATATAATATTGGCGTTTACTATAGTATTCATACATGTTTTTCGTCAATAAGAATGTATGATATTTTTCTCCTCATTCGCAGTAATTCATATAAAAAAATGAAAGTAAAACAGTACTTCTCATTAAGAAGATCAAATGATCTAAATAGAAGAAAAAAGTAATTTTAGATAACACAATTTTTACTGTTTATTAATAAGATCGAATCGTCTAAATAAAATCAAAACAAACTACTTGAAATAATTCTTACTTTTCGTTGTCCAGATTAGATAACCTGATTAAACGAAACTTTTTTTTTTAGTAGAATAATACTCACTTTTCATCACAATCATCAGATGACCTAAATAAAAAAAAAATTTAAATAAAATAATTTGTATTGTTCGTTGATCAGATCGGATCGTGTAAATAAAACAAAATAAAAACTTAAGGAAAATAATACGTACTATTTATTGGAAAGATCGGATAACTTGAATAAAAGAAACTGAATCCTAATTCGTATATAATAATACTTACCATTGAAGTTTGTGAGAAAATTGCCGATTAATTACAATTTATTGTAATATGCAAAAAATCGTCAATTAATAACGACTAATCAATGATTTTTCAATT